TTTTTTTTTTTTTTTTTGTCTTTTGTCTTTTTCCGTGTCCGGCAACGGATCGCAACCCTCAGTGTTGCCCCCGTACTGGACCGGGACCGGCAACGGGATCGCAACCCTCAGTGTCGCTCCCGCGCCTCGCTCAGCCAGTGAGCGGGAACTGGTCTGTATGTGGGATCCGAACCCTCGGCGGGAGTGCCACCACACTCCCAAGAGGTGCACTATAGCAGTGCGCCACCAGGCCGGCCCTGTTGTCAAATATTTTAAATCTACATATACAATAAACTATGTAAGCCAATGTTATAATTTTTAAATTAAATAGCTAGTTGTCTTTCAAATAAGCTGAGAAGGAAAAAAAAATGATAATTTCCATATTTGCCATTTCCAGTGGTTACTGCTTCTTCCTATGGGTCTGAGTTACCATCTGGTGTCATTTCTCTTTAACCTGAAACATTTCTTGGGACTGCTGTTGCGAAATTCCCTCAGTTTTTGTTTTTGTGTAAATGTCCTTACTTTGACTTCATATCTGAAAAATAATTTTGAGACACTGATGGTTTCTTGCTTTCAGAACTTTAAAGATACTGTTTCACTGGCTTCTGGTCTCCCTTGTTTCTCTGAGAAGTTAGTTATCATTCATATCTTTGTTCCCTGTACAAGTATATAATGTGTCTCTTATCTCTGGCTGCTTTCAAGATTTTCTCTTTATTTTCAGTCTCAGCAGTTTGATTATGATATACTGAGATGTGATTTTCTTTGTACTTACAAGTTTGCTGAACTTCTTTGGATTTGTGAGTTGATATGTTTCACCAAATTTGGGAAATTTCCAGCCATTGTTTCTTGAAATTTCTGTCTCTCTCTCTTCACTCCTTTTGGGTCTCCAATTATACATATGTTAGATTGTTTAAATTTGTCCCTGTGGGATTAAGACTGTTCATATTTTTAAATCTTTTTTTTTCTGTTCTTCTGATTAGTTACTTTGTTCTACCATCCATCTAGTAAATTTTTCATGTTAGATATTGCAGCTTTTAGTTTTAGCATTTCCATTTTATTCTTTATTAATTTTCATACTCTGTGAGATTTCCCACCTGTAGTTAAGTAGTTGAGACTACTTTTCTTTAAATCTTTGAACACATTTAAAATAAATGCTTTAAATTCTGCACCTGCAAATTCCAACAATGTTAAAACTTTGGGGTTTTCTTCTACTCACTGAGTCATATTTTCCTATCTCTTCCTATGTATAGTAATTCTGATTGCATATTGGTCAGTGCATACTGTAGACTTTGGTTTCTGTTATCTTCTCCGAAGAGTCTTAAATTACTGACTAATCATCCCAAAGTTGGTTTTACACATTGTTAGGGTGGGTCTATTTGGGTTTGCCCTCAGTCCTAGGACACAGTCACTACAACTAAGGCATGGACCTTTTTGAAGTTTCAGCGGAATGCCCAAGGTATTTACCAATCCCCTCTAACATAGCAGGATTGGATTCAAACTTCAAACTCTAAATATTTTCGGCTTTACTGGTCACATAGTCTCTGCTGCAGCTACTCAACTCTATTATTGTAGAGTCAAAGTAGCCATAGACTAACAAGTGTGGTTATATTCCAATAAACTTTATTTACCAACATGGCAGCAGGTTGGATTTGGCTCGTGGGTCATAGTCTGTTGACCCCATCTCTAGATGATACTAAGCCACTACATTTGTTCTGATTTTAAATATGAGAACAATTCTTTACATGACTACTGTGACAGTAAACGAGTCTGTGCCTTCTTACTGTTCTGACCTTTGTGGAAATAACCATCAGGAGAAATCACATTAAGATGCAGGGATATAAATCTTTAAGGACTGGATGCAGTGTCTGTTAGACTCTGGTTAAGACACTTTCTATTATATCATCACATTCAGATGGCAGGTACTTGAAATGCTTTTGCTACATTTATGGTGTATTTACAAGACGTATTTAGGGGACTTATTGACGTAAGTGCTGTGTCTGTCTCAACACTACTGCAGGAGTCTGTTAGTGAAGGATAACTGATGGAAAAAGGTAACTTAAAATGAATTCATTCAGGATAGCAAAGAGGGACAAAAAGATCTCACAAAGGCTCTATCTTGAGAAAATAAATTTAAAATCATAAAAACAAGTTTTGTTTTACCCAGTATTTGAAAAAACTTAGTTTTATTATTGCAACCAGGAGCTAATTTCCTGGATGAACAAAGAATCAAAGTTGATTGATAACTTGACTGAGATTCTTCTGATAACACTATGTGCCAGCATGATATGATCCTTCATTTCACATTTGACTTTCATAGTCCTATCATAAAAATAGTAATTTTTACACAAATAATTGAGAGCTCCATCAATTTTACCTAGGCCCCTCTTAACCCTTGGATACACAAATCATTATCTTCTGAAGCGCTTATGTCCTCATCTTGATCAGTACTTTTCTCTTCATTTAACAATATCCCTATAGTCAAGGGCTTCAAATAACATTGGAGAAATTCTCCAAAATCCCTTTCATCAACTTAATGAAATCACTTTGCAATCAACTGCAACTGGATCATCAACAGGACAACCCATCCGTCAATACTATGTGTGGCAACAGATGCTAAGGTAAAACGGGGAGGATGTTTGAATGGTCAATTCATCAAAAACGGTTTTCATTTTATGATGAATTTTGGTTCCATAATAAATCTCACAACTACAGAGAACTAAATATTAAACATGCAAACACCAGAAATTTGTAATTTGAGGCATGCACTACTCACATGGTAAAAGTAGGTACAGGATTTGTCCTTATTTGTGCCTAAGTAGGGCTGACAATCGGTTGACATTAATCCACTGGCATCAACACCATGTGCCAGGGGCTGAGAGCAGAGACATGAAGACAGTCCCTGCTCCCAAGGAGCTCACAGACTAATGGAAGGCAAACAAGGAAGGAAACAGGTGAAAATCTCATAGGTGAGGGTAATCAAAGACTGTTCAGGAGATAAAGGAATACCCCAAAGAGTTCATTTGCTGATTTGCTCAGCAAATATCTGAACATTAACTCTGTGTTAGGCACTGGGAATACAGTAGTGGTCCCAGCTCTTGAAGTTCACATCTGGTGGGAGAGACCATCAAGAAAAATAAGTAGACAGATATCTAATTACAACTTGCAGTGAGTATCCTCAGGAAAATGAATAAGGGCAGTGATGGAGAATGAACTGGGGGCTCTGCTTAGGTATAGGGGGTTAGGGAAAACCCTGAGGGTGTGACATTTAATCTGAGACCAAAAGGCTGGTAAGGAGCCAGCTGGTCATGGTGGATTAGAGGGAAGAAAGAGTTCCAGTGAGAAGGGACGACATATGTGAAGGCTTTAGGGCAAGGAGGCCAGTGGGCTGGGACTCATTGGGGAACAGGGAGGATGGACAGAAGGGCCCAGGGGAGAGACGGTGGTGCAGGTGATGTGGGGCTTTGTGGGCCTCTGTTCTGAATGTGGCTATTATGGGAAGAGTAGTGGGAAGTCACAGAATGGTATTAAGCAGGAAGATAATCATGTCTGATTTATGTTTTCAAAAGATTCCTCTGGGTCCTATGAGGAAAGTGACATGGGTGGGGGCTGGGTAGAGGGAAAGCAGGGAGACTGGTTAAAAGGCTAAAGGAATACTTGAGTGGGAGTTCAAGGTGGCTGAGACCAGGGTGCTAGAAGTGGAGGTGGAGAAGAGAATGTATTTGAGCTATATTTAGAAAACGAAGCTAAGGACACACTGATGGAGTAAGTGTGGAGGGCTGCAGGTGAGGGAGGAATCACAGATGACCTCCAGATTTGGGTTTGGGCAACATGGGTGTTCGGCAATGTGGTTACTCATCTGAGAACAGCAGGGATGGTCAGGAAAGCCCCCGTAGGTGATATCAGAGGTGGGTTTTGAAGGCTGAATTCTTTTCAGGCAAAAGAAGGGAGGAAGGGTAGGTGGGTGTAAAACTGGATGTCATGTTGGAGAACTACAAGCAGTTTGGTGCAGATTGGTAGGAAGAGGTGAAAACACAGAGTCTGGCTGAGGTTGGCACATTCAGAGCCTTGAAGGCCTTGCCCAGAACAAACAGACAGTGCTTAAACAAGAACAGACATGTCTTGTGTGACCCTTGCAGCATTTCCAACAATGTGTAATTAGGTGTCAGATGCTTAGCTTTTCTTAAGTACTGCGGTCTAGCAGTCCTAGACCTGTGCCCTGCCTAGGAACAACTGACTGGAATGAGTGCTCGCCAGGCGATGCTCCTCTCCTGATGTCTGCCCAATGCAGGGCCTCCTGGTCAGTGCCCTGTCCTGTGGCCTGGCCCTGTGAGAATCTCCTATGCTGCTTTGGGCTATGTGAAGGTACTTCAGGTAGTGGGACGCAGGCTCACATCTCAGAGCAACTATTCCAGTTGCAGAACTAACTAGAAGTGGGCAAACAAAAGGCAGGCAAACTGGCTAATTACAAAACTTCACAGAATCATGCTACCATGCTAGCAGGAAGGAGAAGTGTACACCTTTGTACTATTCTTTTTTCATGTTCCATAAAAAGGAGATGTTATACACCAGTGTGTATATACTGATTCAAAATGCTCTGATTCAAAGCATAATGGAATCTAATCTGTTATGGCCTGATTATGATGAGGGCTTTGCTGTATCATCAAACATATGTGAAGGGTAATTGAAACTTGGGATTCAGTAAAAGGGCACACATGTCACTAGCAGGAAGAGCCACATGAGTTTGTGGCTAACAGGGCAGATCCTAGGGCTGTGCCTATAGATATGATCAGGAGGACTCTGTGGTAAGTGACATGTCTGAAGGACGGAAGAATGATGGTTAGCAAAGCTCCAGCTGTCCTAAATGCCCCATTCTAGATGCACAACTAAGCAAAGGAGGAGTGGAGAATGGAAGAATGTAAGCAGACGTATCTCAATGAGTAATTGGACAGGGGTGTTACATCCAGCATTAAAAACAGGAGAAACCAAACAGAGCAAACTTAAGACATTAAATCTGTATAAATGTATGATATCTATGTCTAGGACAACAGTAATGGCTTATTTTGTTTCCCTCCATTTGTCTGTGATGATTCTTGTCAGATTTTATACTACACACAGTATCTATATTGTCTTAGATAAGACTATGACAGACTATTTTTCCTGATTACTTCTGCGATACTTTTAAGAGCTTAAGAAAGCACTGTGCATCCATCAGCTGTTCTGTTTCGATAGCACTGCTTGAAAACAAAATTAAATGGCAGCTGAATATTGGGGTGGCTGCCAGAGGTCCCTCAGTAGGGAAATCGGACTTAGTGCACAGAGGGAAGATGAGGCAGCAGGTACATGTCTGCTCCCTTCCCTGCCTCTGTGCCCTTTCCAATTTGGGTGGGCGTCCACAAATCCCATGTGGCACCATGTTGCTACAGCCCAGCCTCCACTTCCGATTCAGGCTCTTCCTTAAGCAGATAACCACTGTGGTCAATTTTATCATCAGGCATTTATTAAGTACCTATTGCAAGGCTCTGTGTTAGCTCATCTGTTTCACTTAAATCTCAAACTTTATATGCATAAAGTTACCTCTTTTGCTGTTAAAAGGTAGCTATAAATGAGTTGTGCTTAACTCTTTCTACCACGAATTCTTTTATATCTTTACTAGAGGATGGAGCCCCAAATTACACAAATGCTCTGAGCGGGATTTTATCAGGCCTGTTAATCAGCATTTACTTTAAGACACTAAAAAGTATAAAAATGCCCTCAGTGCCCATTATCACTTTCTCCATCAGTGTACTTTGTGACTCTAATTGAAAAGAAAAAGGCTTGCCTCAGCAAATGAAAATAAACGTGTCTCTGGCGCACAGACAAGAAGTGAGTAACGTGTGATGACAGGGATGTTGACAATTTAGTTGGAGCTTTAATTTGGGCCTCAGGAAAACACAGAGTAAATGAAACAGTGACTTACTCGTTCTTGTCCAGCTGTATCCCAGATTAGGAATTTATGTAGCTCATTTTGGTACTGGACAGTCTTGGTCATAAAAGATGCCCTATAAAGAGAGACCTAAATGATCAGAATACAATTATTTAAAGCACGTTGCCAGCCCCAGTCGGAAATATCACTTAGACTTAATGTTCAAAGTCCCAGGTCCACACTATATCCTAATTGTGTTCCTCTCTGGAATATTTATGGGATGTTTGGATGCTAGCTGCATATTCTCTATCAAAAAGCATTAGGCACATCTGCCCAACACAAAGAAGGAAGAGTTCTTTGGTTTTTGATTGCCTAAGCTCCATACCAAAAGAACCAAGAGATATTTTGGTAATCCAGACATTAGCCCCCCTTGTAAAACACAGAAGCTGTTATTTAAAAAGATGCTATCATGGAAAGACTTTCTAAGAAAACAGTGTGTTCAGGATATGGGTGCACTCGAAAAAATATTAGGCCATTTGGGCTTGTCTTCCCCCAATTCTCAAACCACATGCCCACATAAATAGCTGAGTAAGAACTAGTGTAATGCTACAGTTAATAAAATTATAATGCCAAACAAGGAGCAGGGAGATGCCTAGAGAAGCAACACCTGTACCGAGGTGACCTGATTCATCATCAGCAGCCCCAGTGGCCACCTGTGTTTCATTGACAAAGTGGGCTTCTCAGCTGAAGTTCAGCATCAGACCTCAGGGTCTCACCCAGCCCCGGATGGCGAAAGGAATTCATAGGTCACACTGCTCACTTTGAGGGAGCCACTCTGCCCAGGGAGCTTTGAAGGCAGGGGTTTCTATTATTTTGGGGGGTTCCCATACTTTTTGGAGGATCCTGAGTGAGACCTCAAAGCCTGTGTATTCTATTAGGAGCCATGGTGGCCCAGAGCACATGCCTGGATACTCTGGGGGCTCCAGGACACAGGTTCAGAAACCCTGCCCTTGGACTAGCTCTGGCTCTAATATTACCTTCTGCTCCCCACCTCACCTAAAGGGTAGCCTCCTGCGAAGTCCTTTGTCTCCCAGTTTCCTCAACACATCCCAGTCTGGCTAGCAGAACCCAGAGATGACCATGTTTTCCTTTCTACTTGAAAATAAGCCTTCTGGGGCCAAGGGCCAAGTTGTATTTCTGAATCATACCTTAATCACCCCAATCAGAACAATGAAGTCAATGGCTAGGCATTTTCAGATATGCTGAGAGCTTGACATATTTTTGCTGAGATTCAAGTAACAGATAATCTTCAAGAAAATGCAAGTTGAAATTGAATAGAGTGACTTTCTGAAGAATCACTGAGCTTAGATGAATATCAGAATCCTTAGTTTTAAAAACTTCAACTCTGATACAATGAATTCCTGGCAATATTTATATAAATTTATGGTATATCAAGCAGCCTCCAACATGGTGACTGCAATGAGGAAGGGAACGTGAATCAGGAAGCAAGACCACATTTACTGGATAGGCACTATTTACTCAATATTTATTTACTGAAAATTTACCCCTTGGTATCCTTAGTAAAGTGCTTTGTGTATAGAAGGTACTCGATAAATGGTTACTGTATCAAGAACCGTTGGCGACTCACTATGATTAAATCAGGATGTGCAACGCGATTTCTCACTTAGGAAAGATCTAAGTATTCAAAAAGTATTGTTTATTGTGAAGATTAAATGAGATGATGTATGTAAAAGTGCTTTGTAAATTGTAAAGCACTATATCTATACAAGGTATTATTAAAGGCAGCTCCAGGAAATGCTTTAGTTTAGACTTTGCAATTAGTTCTAAAAGCTTGCAACTCAACTCTCCATCAATTATGGCTATGGTGTTACATTTAAGAGTGACAACAGGCATCCAACAGAAGCCTATTAACAGAGCCAACACATCTATTTTGGCTGCTCAAAGGACAAGAGAAGAAATATGCTTCAAGTAGACAAAAAGCTGAGAAAGGTATATGCAATAATTAAAAGGAAATGCTTCATCATGGAATCAGAACTCACTACAGTTCAACCTACCTGCCAACCATTTCCCTTTAATGAACACACAGACTTAATTACTGAGTCAGGAGAAAGGCAAACAAAATGGCAGCTGTGATGTAATGGGAGTGCCTTAAAGGATTAAAACCCAACTCCCCCTCTCCGACCGTGGACCACCCTTCCCGGTCTCGTCCATCACTCTCACCATGCCTCCTTCCTGTCTGCCCTGAGGTCTTCTTGTGCCCAAGCTCTTTTCTTGGGTCTACGTTTGTTGGCTTCTTGTCCTTTAATCACCAGTATCACTTGCCCACACTACCAATTCTTTAGCAATCTTGTCTGTCTTTTCCCAGCCACCCAGAAAAGCCCTAACAGCCTTCCACCTGCTTCTTCTACCCAACGGTAGCGTGGCTGTCTTGATGGAGGAAAATGACAAAGCTATGCAGACCAGCATGAAGATTCTACTCTGTGTCAGCTGGACCCACCTCTCAGGTATTCTCTCATACCACATGGCAATTATTCCACATTCTTATGCCTCTTTTCTGGCTCTCCACCATTTCCTGTTATTCTCCTCTTCAGGGCAACAGCTTATTTCAGCCCTTTTAGAGAAAACAGAAGTTATATACCCTAAGACTTCCAACAAGCTCCCCAGTCAACACTCCCAACTCAAGTACAGACAAATTTCCCTTCACACCAGCTGTGATTTCCACTTTTCAGACTCTGGCTGAGTCAGAGATGTCTTTTCTTTGACTCATACATCACGGCTGCCCTTCAAGATGCCAGTACATCCTGTCCGGGCCACTGCAGCCATCAAATTGATCTACTCCCAGTCCCAAATCCCTCCAATTGTCTCTTCCTTCCAATTTCCACCTTCCCATCTCCTGCTCCTTTCCTTGAATACTTTCCAACTGGCTGCTCACCCTTTAGGTTCAGCTAAAATGTCAATGATCACAGAAGCCTGTATCATCCACCCAAGGCAGGCAGCTCTACTTCCCAAGACATAATCCCATTTTGTCTTCAGAACACTTACTACAAAGTCTGATAAGTTTATTTATGGTTTTTTCTTTTTTTTTGGCGGCTGGCTGGTACAGGGATTGAACCCAGGACACTGGTTTTATCAATACCATGCTCTAACCAACTGAGCTAACTGGCCAATCCTTTTTTTTTTTTTAAATTTACCTGTTCAATGTCTAACTCACCCATGAGAACTGTAAGCTCCATGAGGGTAAGGACTTTGCTATAGCTCTTCCTCTGTAATACGGGTATCTTCCTCATCTCCCTCCTCCTTGTTATTCTAGAACTTTAACAAAACATCCACCATGCTGCCCACAAGCTATCTATTACTCCAAAAGTTCTAGGAGGTCTTGGTCAAGCACTTTCTGAAGCATAAAGTGAGAAGTACTACTGAAGTGCAGCTAACGAGCTGAGCTTAGAGGAAACTCTGGCTCTTCAACTGTAGCCAGGTATGTGGTCTCTAGGGCATGAGGTAAGTGGTTCTATTAGCGCAAGGCTGACTATTCCCAGAGGATGTCCTTCCTGCCCTCTCCTGCTCAGTCACCAGCTCCAGCCCCTACCCCTACCCTAGCCATCAGGCAATAAACAAAATCCAGGAGTTGCAGCAAAGAACCACTGTGTTCTTCGGTCACTCAGACTTCTGGAATTCTGCTAAGGAAGAAGTCATGGCACTTTACAGGGTCTCTCCGCTGTTCACTCTTTCATACCTCCAGTTCCCAGTTCAGGTGACTATGGTGAGATGACCATACCTCTCTCCCCTCTCCTCCCCTGGGCCCCACAGTCTCTTTACAGCAACAGGCATCTCTCTTGATTTTTTTTTTTGTGTGTGTTTGTTTTGGTGCCATGACTACTGATTTCTGAGAGACTGAAATATTGGCCTGTCATATCTGAAAGAACTGTCTCCTCCACCTCCTCCTTAATATTTGGATTTGGTTATTGTATGTAGTGGTGATACATGGACTCAGGGTCAGACTCAGGAGAGCGTGTTACCTGTTGTCTCTCCCAAGTGGTCCTTAGCTAGCTCTGGGTTAGCACAGGGGCAGAAAGCCTCCTGCCTGACTCAAGAACGAATTCCTTCCACAGCTTCAGGTCTTTACCTGTTGAGGACAGCACTTTTCCACATCTGATTGACTAGTCTAACTATACAATCTAAACACTTCATCACCATCTCACACTTAACATGGTAAGAAAGAGCTTATTTCCACTCCCCCCCAACAATCATCCCAAATTCCAAGTTCTCAGTCACAGTCTGCCTTCCACAGAGCAGAAACTAGTCTGCAACTATTCTCCATCCTTTGTTACTTGCATCCAATTTTGTAGCAGAGCTGCCTGGTTCTTTATTTTTACATTTAATCTACACTTGAACCTCAACCCCTGAAATAAATTCATAAACTGCACCCTAATCTTCGAGCGGGACCACAACAATCTTTCCCTCCCATTGTCACTTGAACTCTAGGATCACTTCTATAAGGCTCAAGTTAAATGATGCAGAGGGTAAGATAACTTCAATATCTTTCTTTTTGAAAAACAGGCAATGACTTCCTGCCATTCAAATGATACATTTTTATTTTCCAGCCTGCCATTTTCCTGTCTGATAACCTTACTTTTCCACTACTAAACCATCTCTCTTCACTCTGCCTAGGCAGATCTTATTACCTCTTTAACCTAAAATCCCTACTAGCATTATTCCCAAAAGCTGGAATACCTTTCATAGACTTCTCTATTTTTCAGGGCATTCTAAAAATATGACTTGCATGCACACCAAGCAGTCATGATTGTTGGACAGAGTACGTGTTCCCAATGAGAATACTTGCTACAAGGTTTTTAAAAAATTTCTTTTCTTTGCCTGCAGTAGACTTATTTAGCTCTCTTGGAAAACAGGTGTGCTTGGCCATCACATTCTAGGACCTCTGTTTACTGCAAGCTCTGTTGTTTGAATGACACACAAGATGCTGTCACCCTCATGATGGTATACAGTGCCTTTTGAGGATGACTAATTCCATACACTTTAAAATTAACAAAGAACCATAACTTCTCAACACTCTGAATCTCATGCAAACAACACTTGGATCTCTAGGTTATATACACT